TATTATTATTATTATTATTATTATTATTATAATAATTATTACTACTACTACTACTACTACTACTATTGTCTTGTGAATTATGTTCCTCGATAACAGTGGAGTTCACAGAATATTGATGACACGCGCGTGTTCGATCGGTATGAATAATAGCAAAATCAAGTTTGAGACGATCAGCAAGAGATGTTACTCTTTTTATAATTTGAAAACATTAGAAATTATAAAGTATATTAACTAAGAAACACATATAATTTATAGTATCACCTCTTAGCACCGCCTGGATTTTTGCTAACTACCACTCCTCTCGAATAACCAGGAACGGTGTCTTGAATCCATTTGGCAATAGTAGGTTCCGCATATAGGTTATCTACAGGTTTGTTAAAAAATCCTTGTATTTGAGATGCATGGAGATCCATTGTTATAATGTGATCTACTCCCGCGACTGAAAGCAAATTGGCAACCACTTTGAATGTTTGGTAATATCATCATCAATTGAAAAGTTCAGCCATCAATATAAAGTGAAGGACTTTAATCAAATTAGTCTTTCCGGAGACTGTGAGATAAACCAAATTATCATTTTAAAAATACTCACTTTTCGCTGTTATAGCCCCACGATGCTTCTTCTTTTTACTTTGTTTACAGTATGGAAAATACGGCATAACAGCTATTTAATTGTATTTCGCAGTGAATAACAATTAATTGATTATTTATTGCTAATACTTAATTTTTAACGATGAAAAAACTCTCACCAGTTATACGACTCGCTGATGCACCCTTACAAGCTGAAATCATAATAAGCAATTCCATGAGGTGATCGTTAGTATGTGTCGAGCCCGACTGAATTATAAATACATCCTCATTTCGTACTGAACAACCTATATTTCAAGTGAAATTTGCATAAATCATTGAATTCCATAACTCAACATGAAAGGTTAGCAAATGCCGTAATACGTCAATGCAAAGTACACCCTTTATAGTATAACACCCTCCTTTTTTACTAATAGTTTATAACTTTGCCCATGAAACGTAAGACCAGGGTATTTTGCACAGCGTAATACGGTACTTTCCCAAACACTGACCAATTTCTACTGAAGTCTCCTGATTAGAAAACTTCTTTAGAATGACTGGAGCAGGAGAACCAATACCAAGCTTTTCGCATATGGAAATTGCAAGTTCTACGTGCGAAGAACCAGAGAATACCTTTGTTCGACGCATGTTTGAATAACTTTTTATTATCATACGAACCACCCCTAACATCTGCAAATTTTCCTTGGAGTCACATGACTTAAGCCTGAATTATATTAATGCTGGCTAATTAAGATCACATGCTTTTGTTTAATTATGAATCATGACTTGTTTACTAATATAAAGCCAGGTGGTGTAATTTGGATCAAGTCAATTCAGAAAAAAATTTGTTTTTTTAAGAAAGAAGAAAAAAAGAAAGAGAGACTAGAATATATTTTTAATGTCAAATATAAGCTATAAGTATTATAATAACTTACTATTTTTAATATTATATACTTATCTTTAATATGTATACTTAATGTAAGTTATAAGTATTATAATAATAAGTATATAAAAAATCAATTCTATATATACTTGTCATTTCTAATAATATATATTTTTTATTTATTTCTCTATTACATACTTATTTTATTTTTTTAATATATATATTTAATATTATTATAATTTTTTATTTATTTTTTTTCTAGTTTAGTTTGTTAACTTTCTTATTTTATTACTTTATATTTATTCTTATTTTAAATATATTTATTGTCATTTCAATATTTAATTATTATTTTAATTATATAATCAATTAAAAATACATAAAGTTATTTAATATTAATATATCATTCAAGATCTTAGAAAAAGAATTTTATAAAAATTTATAATTATTTATTTTCAACATATAGATATAATATAATAGTTGAAATATATTAATAATAATTTTTAGATTATTTATATTTATTATTTTGTAAAATATAATAAATTAAATATATAAAGAAGATATTTTTATAAAAAAATAAAAAAAAATAAGTAAATATGATTTTAGTAAATATAATACAAAACTTAAGCTAATATATATTATTATTTTTTAAATAATTAAAATTAAATATTTTAATATATTAAATTATATATATTTAATTAATAATAATAAGATTAAGTAATTTGAAATTATTAGAAAATTAATAGTTAATGAAGCAAGTAAATTATATATTTTATTTATTATTATAATTATAATTAAAAAAATCATGAGTAAAGAAAAGCTTAATATTATAATTCAAAATTTATATAGAATTAAAGTTATAAATATTTAATAAAAATTATAAATAGCTTATTTTATTAATAAATATAATTTAGAAATTAATATTAAAAATATTCTTAATTTTTTAATTTATAAAAATTATTAAGTTGAATATTTCTAATATAAATATAGATATATATATATATAGATATATATAATATTATATAAAAATTATCTCAAGTTTTTATTTTTATAAATTCCAGATAGTTAAAAAAATTATAACTTTTTAAATAACTAATAATTATAAATTTTATATATAATATTAATAAATATTTATAATATCTTTTTATATTATATATTTGTAATAATTATAAATATTGAAATATTAATATTTATTTCTTATAAATAATAAAGATAATAATATAATAATTAAAATACTAAAGATAATTTATAAACTTATATTTTATTAATATTCCTGATATATACTTTCTAATTAGAATAGTATAAAGATTAATAGTATTATAAATACTTTTTAAAAATTATATATAATAAATAAAATTATAATATAATTCTTTATACAGTATATATAATATATATATAATTATATAGGATTTATCATTTAGTAATATGCAATTAATTAGTCTTAATCATATATAAAAAAATAAGAATTAATTATAAAAAGATTATTTATAATATTATTATTACTTAAATTATATTAAAAATATAAAAAAATAAATATTCTAAATATAATAATATTCATCTCTTCTATTCTAAATTATTTTAACTAATTTATTAAAGTTTTTTTATAGTAAATTTAAAAGAATAATAACTAAAAAATTTGATTTTATAAATATTATACTTGCTTTATAATATTTTTTATTATAATTTTTTACTTATTAAATACTTGTATTATATTAAAATATATTATAAGATTACTAATCTTGATAATAAAAAATAACTTGATTCTGAAAAGATTATTTTAATTTCTATTAGAAATAAATTTTTATAACTAATCTTGATAATAAGATTTTGAAAGAAGTTTATAAATTTTTCTATTTTATTTAAAAGCCAATTGTAAATAAAATCATTATTATAAGTATAAAAATTATAAAAGAAAAGTTATTATCAAATCTAATATCATCAGTATACTCTTATATATTCTTTTATTATTATTTACTTTCTTATTAACATATTCTTTATAAGTATCTTTTTGATTTTAACAAGTTATTAATGATTGATATTTGAAAGAAATATTCATAAAAATCAGTTTTGAAGTATATGAATACTATGAAATAATCAAAATATTTGAGCCTATTCAGATTTAAATGAAGAGAGAGGCAGAAATATAAAGATTATAAGTAAATAAATTTTTAGAAAGAGTGTGAAACAAGTATTAAAAAATTGAGAATGAAGATGATAATGATATTACTAAAGTATTTATTATAAGTTATTGAATTCAATTTTAAAATTAAAATATAATAGTTTATTATTTTATAAGTTAATTAATTCTATAATTATATTTATTACTATTATTTTTTACAAAAAAATAAATGAGCTTGTATTTATTACAAATTAATGATCTTTATAAGCTTTTATTCTCAATTATTAATTAATCAATGATTGATACCATTATTATGATTGTCTGTTATTCGTATATTTTTCACATGATCTGGATCCGGATTGAATCCAAAATCACATGATACTACCCGGCTTTAGTGGATCCCCTAATATGGATCTGAATGTAAAAAGATTATGAATATTTAACAATTGATATTTGTATGGATTGTAACACATCAATACTAGACATTGCTAAGTATGACTACTATTTCCTGCATGATCTCCGGAGAGAAACAAGGTTCCCATCAGGAGAAAGATTCTCCGAGCACCATTTTCATCTTGATTAGAATGAAATCTACTGTAAATTCTGCAGATTTTGCAGCCGTATGGTTTATAACGTGATTTATGTGTTTTGGCATATTGATGACTGGAATTATAAGTTAATGATGATAAGTCAACTATTAATGACAAAAAATTTCATTAAGTTTAATTGTTAAGAGAACTTTTATCTAGATTTATCGGTTAAATTATTTGCTTATAAAATATTCAATATTTTATCAAGATTATTGATAAAGAAAACATCTTTTTTATGACATATTGTTTCCAATATTGAAGAAATTTGATTAAATATAACAAAAATATTTATTTTTGATTTTATGTGTTTCATAAGCAATTAATGCAAAAATAACTAGATTTATTACTTTTTTTCTTGTCACGTTTATGACATTCAATTTAACATGAAATTTTGTACAAATTGAAAATCGAAATTATAACAATAAATTAATAAACAATAAAAATATCAAAAAATCTTATTCTATGCTTAGTTTAACCTGATCCTGACTAACAAATGCACGACCAGTTTCAATACCGGGCACCAGATAAGAAATATCATCCCAAGGATGTCGATAAAGACCTTGTTTTAGTCGTTTTTGATCAAGATAATGACCTGTTCGTACAGTGATTGCATATTTGAAAAGCAAGCAATTAATTTTCGAACGCGTTGTAAAACAAATCATTCAAAGACAAAACAAAAAAAAGCTACCAATGAATCCAATACTTCGTCCTAAAACAAATAATCCATTCAATGCACCAATCTTGATGTATTCTTCTGCTTCTTCGCGACTGAATGCACCCGATTCACGTAGCAAATCAACAAAACATACGGCGATAGCACCATCCAAATTTAATATTAAGGAATCTTTCTTTTGTGTGGTGAGATCTTCAACTGCTAGCGCATAATCGAGTAGCTTGGTTGCCGGAAAATGTTTTTTTGCGAATTCTTTAAGGAGTTCTACACGTAGATCGGGATTATTCCGTGATTTAATTTTATGACCAATTCCAAGAATTCTAATAATGAATAATGAAATTGTTAACTGCATGTATGATCCAAGATATTATCATAATGCTTAATAAATATATGAACTCACAATTTGTTTTGTCTCCTCATCGAAGTCACGAATTCCCGTGGCGTTAAGCTTTTATCATAAGCACCGGTAAATAATTCTGCAGCACCGTCTAATGCACCTCCAAATCGATCCCCCTATCAAAAAAATGATTAGTCAAAGAAATTACGGTTAAATTCACAAGAAGATTTCCTTATATTTACAATAGTCAATAGACCAGAACATAGACTTGATATAAGATCCTTTCCGGCACGAGCAGTGACAATTGTATTATGTGCACTATTAAATTTTGATATATAGAAAATAAACTGGATTAAATCATAAGGATGTAAAAATACATATTAATACTAACCCTGATACCGCAGGTCCATGATCAGCAGTCAACATCAAAATCATTTCAATAAAACGACAAGCGTAATCAGGTAATCGTCTCTTAAACCAAAGTAAACTTAATACACCGCCTATGCCGATATTTTCTTTGAAAACATCTGAAATTCTCATTCCCGCATATAATAGCTCTTGCCCACGATCATCGCAAATAGTTGATACAAAACTTGCTGGTTTTCGCACTAAACCAAGTTCCTGAGCCCAAGAATAATCAATAGGAATCTTCGGCGTTTCCGGTTCTGGTTTAGGTACTATAGTACCCTCCGAGACAAGTTTTTGATAAATTTCATTCAAAACAAGAGGTAATTTCTCAAAAGTTTCCGGAACAATTCCACCTGCTGCTCTAATTGCTGAATTTTTCGCGTCGGCAGTCTCAAGATCTGATTGTGCTAAAGCTCCAGCGTGGCCGAATTGTACTTCAGTGGTGAACATTTTGGCACAGGTTCCAATACACCAAGCAATCAATGGTTTCTTAATACGTCCCCCTTTAATTGCCTCACATACTCGATATTCTTCTACACCTCCCACTTCTCCAAGCAATAGTAAAATTTTACAATTCGGATCATTTTCAAAACGCAATAAGTGATCAATAAATGTTGATCCGGGATATCGATCACCTCCGATCGCAACACCTTCGTAAACACCATCAGTAGTTCTAGAGACGATATTATTCAGCTCGTTAGACATACCACCAGATTTCGATACATAAGCTACGGAACCTGGTCGATATAATTTAGAAGAGACTATATTATCCATCATTCCACCAGTATTGCCAATTTTAAAGCATCCAGGTTTGATGCCACCCACAGTAGCAGGACCAATAATTAGAACACCTCTTTTTTTAGCCTCGAAAAGAATTTGTCGTGCGCGTCTTTCCGGGACACCTTCAGCAATTATTGCGATTGTCTTTATTTGATTGGAGTATTGGAAAAATTCCATAGTAGATTCATATGCTGATCGTGAAGAAGCGAAATTCACAACGGTGTCTGCTTCAGGGTGTTTAGCAATAGCATCAGCAAGATTATTAAAGACGGGAAGAAGAGTTTCTTTTGTCCCCCAGTAGAATTTTTGAACGTGATTTCCACCGAATGGATAAATCATCGCAGCAACTGATGGAACTTGTCGTTTACATATATAATCAAAATCCAACATCCCTTGTACAGCACGAGGCTGCATTCCGTAGACAAAAGCGCGAGTTTTATCGGTAAATGTTGAATACCAAGGTTTTTGTGGGGCTTCAGTACTTTCAAAATAAGTCATACGTTCACGTGGGTCAGCGACAGGTGTTTGTAAATCTTCCGTACTTCCGTTTGTTTTTGTTTGCGTAACAGAATTTGAAAAAGTTCCCAAAATTTGATCTTGAAGAGAATTTCCTGATAAATTCGACGTTTCAGCAGCATTGCTATTGAGACCAGATCCACGACCCAATAAAGCTAACGGCACGATCTCAGTAATATGAGTTTCAGGACCAAAAACTTGAATTTCCACACCTAAATCTTCACCCAATTGTCTCATGGCTTTTAAGCCTTCTTGATAATTTGGTCCCCCCCGCCTCACGAATATTCTAGCTTTGTGCATGATTAATAATTTCTTGTATTCTCGAAGAGCTCTGATTAACCCTTTGAATGTGACCGCGACGTTGGTAAAGTTAGCGATACCTCCACCAATAATAAGCACCTTACCCTCAGGATGAGGAATTGGATTACGCGTCATTAAATCTAAAATTGTTTTTGCATACTCATAAGTTTGTGTTTCGGTAGGGGCACCTGAATATTCACCATAGTTTGCGAGCTCATGCGCAAATCCTAATGCAGCAATCGCGTCACTATATTTTACAGATTAAAATAGAGTTTTATTAGATGATACAAGAAAGAATAGAAAATGATATATATATATACACACACACACATATACATACCTATATACAACTGAAGCTCCACCACCGGCCACCATTGTCCATATTCTTCCTTCTTTATTTAGAATAGTTAATTTCAATGATGCACCAGTTTTTGAATCCAATTCTTGAACATATGCTTCCTCTTTAGTTGATTCACGTCCAAAAGGAGCAGGAAATTCCAATGGAGGTCCTTGATCAATCTGAGTTTTCGAAGTTTCATATTGACCGACAATACCGATACTTTGTGGTGCTCGTGCTATTGCCCATTTTGGTCCGGCTTCGGATTCAGCTGTCTGATCAATTTTTGCGGCCAAATCAAGATAATAGACTTTGGGTGGTTCACCATCAGAAGCAGGATCGAGCACGACCAAAGGATTGATTTCAAGATAGGTAAAATGTAAATCTACATAAACAGCATATAACCTCGAGATGAAATCAACAAGAACGTCCTTCTTGCTCTCCGGTACATTAATTAGCAATTTTTCTTTAATTTGATCAGCCGAAGGAAAATCCGCATCTACTGGAATCAAAAGTTTCAATGCTTTGGCATCAACATCACCAACTTCAATACCACCTTCATGCGTAAATAAGATATAATCTCCATCACGCACAGAATTTATATTAATATAATATTCGGTATGTTGAGGATGTGGGACAAAAGGTTCAACGATAAATGTTTTTAACACGCCAGTTATCAAATCGATCTATCAATTAATGGACAATAAGTAAATTGAAAACTAAGATAAAGGTTGTAAAATAAATAATTTAGAAAACTCACTTTTATCTCCTTTCCAGCCCTTTCAATAACCCATTCACGAACTTGAGGCCAATCAGCATTCAACAATAAAAGTCCCGACTTTCCTCTTCGTTTGATCAATTGATCGGGTTTAACTACCAATTTTTCAGTTAATAACCAAGGATGTGTTTGTTCAAGAACATTCAAGGTATGCTGCATTTGATTACTGAACGCGACAGGTGGATTGGAAATAGTTTTATCATGGAGAGTGGAAGTGTCAAAAGCAACATGAGCTACTTTACTGGGCGGAATAAATTTTGAGGTAGACGCAGTTTCATCTTTGGATAATGAGGGAGAACGAAGCAACCAATAGGCAAGTAATAGCTTTCCGTCATATTCTCTTATTGCTTTCGCGGACATTGTTATTGATAATTTGGAGTGGTAACAAGTATTAAAACTTTATTATAATTTCCGAAATACACGAAGATTAATACAGATATGACGGAAAAGAAATAAGTACTTTGTTTTATTCAAATACCTATATGTATATATATATATGTATATATATAGGTGTGTGGGGGAAAGAGAGAAGAAAGAAAGATGCAGAATTTTCGGAAAGTGTTCCTATAAGTATATAAGCCGCCTAATCAAAAGTGAGACGACGCTCTTCGGTCGCCAAACTTAAACTTTATCGTTCTAAAAAATCCCAACGGGTGATTATAATCTCAGTAACTCAAAAAGTAAACGATCATCCTTATCCTTGATCAGACCTCGAAAATTGGGGTTTCATGTGAACATTATCTTAATCAAGTCAAATGGTGATTTATTCCTTTCCCCCAAAAACTTATTCCACACACGCGCGTAAAATTTCTTCAATTATTGTATTATTTTAAATTGCGCGCGTTTTTGGTGTTCACATTCTAAGAGTATTTCGATTTAGATGATTCGAGAAGAATCAATTTTTTTAATTCAAATTTGCACGATATTTTCACGAATCAGCGAACCCACGTGAAGTATAAGTAAAATATCACCTGAAAATTTGTGCTATTAATGTCCTAAAAAAAAAGATACACGTCAAATCACACCATAAATTTCGTTGTCACTATAGGAAACCATCAATAATGTCGTTATAAAGTGGTGAATTTATATCATCTTGGCACAATTTTTCAAAGATAAAAAGACTATTAAGAGGTTGATTTGTATACTGCTTTAGAATAATCATTTCTATTGAATAGTAAGAAAACTCATCACTTAAATATAAAATCACGGACGTTGAACATTTTCATGTTTTCCGAGTATAGATATTAATGCTCTTTGCATATGTAGCAAGGAAATTAAATCAATCATGAATTGTCGAATAAATAAATAAAATCCATTCATTTGGATGCATCTAAATCAACAGTGACATCAACGGTTTATCTTATCTCCCAGCATTAACCCTAACTTTGCTCTAAACCCACTCTAAACCCAGTCGTATCCCTAATCTAATTTGGCAATTTTCGTTTTCATTCATTCTGTTTGGTAAAGTACCAGTAGCCCTCGTAAATCGTCGCATCAAAGTAACGTGGTTCAGTAAGCTCCCATAAATAAAAGAAGAATCCAAATTCCGATCAGAAATGCCACATAGATAGCTGAATTAATTTTTCCGTAAGATAAAAGGTTTTATTTTGAATTATTGAATTTTCGAAAAAAAAGGAATAACAAAAATAACTCATTATATCATCTTCCAACACTCATACCCCTAAAATTGACGCTGGGAAAGCCCATCATATTGCAGAACGAGTGACAAAGAAAAAGAGGAAATATGTTACCTATCGGAAGAAAAAAGAATTCTATAAAGATTACTTATTTTATACCTTATAAAATAGTATCTTCGTAAATAATGTTACCTGTTCGAAGAAAAAGAAAAGTCGCGTACCATCCATAAAGGGTCGTGTATGTGAACTGCATTACTAATAAAAATATTGGATCATAATTATTCTTCAATGTATCTGGTGCATGAAACCAATGTGTATAAAAACGTATTATATATTTACGAGATTGTAGAATACCGATCATAGCAGCTTGTTTGTTTTTTCCATTATTCACATGCGTGATGTATATGCGCTATATCACGTACATTTCATATAATAATCGTCTATTAATTAAAAAGATTATGGCATTTAACTGAAAAGATCAAGGAAGAAATAAATAATTACAAGTATTATTATAATATTATATTACCAATCCCAAAAAACAATGGAAACACAAGAATTATCCATTCCCTTGAAAATATAGCGTACGCAAGTAACGGTACCATACATCATCTAAACACAAATTCCTCTGTAAATGGTGCCTATCAAATTGATGATATTCATGATGAATATAAATGTTATGTCACATTTAGTTAATATATTCACGAATATATAATTCCTAAATCCAGTTAAACTACTTATCAACGCTATTACATCTCGACACCAATTGAAACGCGTTTGAAATGGTAAGAACCACATAATTAATAATGGTCCAAGGAAGAGTATGCTTGTAAGGAATAAGGGTAGTGTTGCCTGGTTAAATAAAATTTGGTATCTGCTGGG